ACATTGGGAATTAAGTCATGTTGACAATTTTAATTGGTATTGTGTTAAAATGTTTTCTACTGAAAGTTTCAATTATGAATCTATTTTACAAAATTCTTGTCTTGGAAATAATAATATTCATCATCGTATAATTGATGATTAACATCATTTATATTAATTAATTAATATTCATTAACTGTAATTATAAAAAATTTTCAGATTATAATATTTTTATCCTATTATTAATTAATTATTTTAATTTTTTAAAATAAAAATATTTCCTATGTTTATTAAAAATAGAATTAAAACATAATTATTATATTACACTTAATAGTATAATTAATTATTCATACCACACATCATAAAGAGCAGCATTATTTTGTGTACCGTTAATAATCTTATTTGTTTCATTACATTCGTGACCACAAGGCAAAGACCTTTATTTACACACTTCTTATTATCTTCAAAACCATCGCGTAATATTTTGTGTTTATAGATTTTTATGTGCAGTGGAATTGATGCTTTGTTCATTTCTAATCTGGTCAATAATTATTCTTAACTGTCCTGTTGTTAGCAAAGTAGAATCATTCTTAATTTACATCTGGATGACAAATTAGGATATTTGGATCATATAAATCAGATGGTATAATTGATCTATGGTTTGCTGAAGAAATTCGACAAGTTTTGATTTTTTTTTTCATTGTCGGCATTCCAATCGAGATTGAATTAGTTTTATGAACATTCCGATTAATTAAATTACTCCCAAATGTCAATTTCTTCCGTGTCCAAACCATCTCATCTTAATAAATCAAATAAAATAATTATTAAAATCAATATTATATCTTAAAATACTATTTAAAAACATGTCTTTAATTAATTTAATACCAGAATACAATTTAATGAACAAAATGATTTAGTAATTAGCATAATCAATGATTTTTCCAAAGTTCAAGATGTAAATTGTCATAAAACAACAAAATTGCTTGAAAAAAATAGGCTTTAAAAGATTAAAAGTTTAGATAAAATGAAAAAGATCTTTCTATCAAAACACAATGAAAATTCAATTATTAATTACAAATATAAATATAATGAAACAATACCCATTTGCCAACCTGTATCTTTAAAACTATGTGATATTAAAATAGATGAACTAAGAGACATTTAAAAACAAATGGTTTAGATGATTGTCAACATGGTAATATAAAAAATATTCTTAAACTTAAGTCATGAGCATTTGTTGATTTTGAAGTAGTAGAAAGTGTGAAAAATTTTATACCAAACTATGTTGATTTACATGGATTGCCCAAATGAGACTTTGTGATAATTCAGACCCATATTTATCCAGGAACTCAAAATAGTTATAGTTCATAAGTGTGACAAATGCTTCGTGTTGACACATCTATACTAAATATAAAATATAAAACTTTTCACAAACTCTGGACTCAATTAAAACCACACATTAAGTTAAAAATCATTTTAAATGATAAGGATGAAAAAATTGACATGCAATTCAAATTTGATAAACATTTTACAGCTACAGATTATGAAAAACTGCATTATAATAATATTAAAGAAAAGTGTAAAAATGGTTCAACATTAACTCACAACTGTTATAATTTGGCTCAAAGTGTTGCATCTTGACCAAGTTGATTTAAAATAAATATCTTTGGTATATGTACTCAGCTAGATTATACAACAAGAGAAGATTAATTACCAGAGGGAATATCAAAAGGAGTTAATACAACTTTGAATATGACAGTGTTTGGGTGATTAAAAAAGACAATTTCCATTAACATTCAAGGATCATCAGTCTTGAAATATAATTAAGGAAATTTAGGAAAGGATGAGCGGGAGTTTAGGAAGGGGAAAGTGGGTTCAGATTTTTAAGTATTACATGGGGTGGTGAGTTGTGTACCAAAGGTTCCTATTGCAAGGTTAATCCTTATTATTATGTCAACTCCTCAAATGAGGAGGTATTACCCTTTATGTAAAAATATAGTTTCTATCATCCTGAAAATCATTGTATTGTTGTGGAAAACTTTTTTCTTTGAATTTAATATACATTCACTTTATTTATTCGATTTTTTTTTATTCAAAATTATTGTAAATTCTTACTACATCTTCAACTTCATTCAGTCCATCCTCCAATTTATTAATTACTTCCATCAATTCTTCATTAACACTAACTTTTGTCTTTGGAATATATCCACTATTCCTAATACTTATTACTTCATAATCATATTTCTCTTTTATTTCTTTAGTAATTTTGTTGACATTCAAAGGTTCACATGTTATCTTTTAAAAATCAGATATATGTATTAATTCTATGTATTAATTATTTTTATTATACATTTATTTATTTTACCTCTAATGTATCTTCATTCACTTCTTTTATATCTTCAATTCCTTCAATCTCTATAACATTATCCATCATTTTATCAATTGTGTCTTTTTCTTTATTGTTGCCTGAATGAAATTGAATTGACCCTTCAATAAAAATATAATAATATTAATTGTTATTACTATTATTGTGCAATTATTATTATCAGTTTATTATTAATAGTCTTATACTATCATTCATTAACCTTTTTTATCAAACATCCATGAAACACTTGACATTGATCCTCTATATTAAAATAGAGAAAAAATTTTTTTTTGAATAATGATAATTCATCTTTATTTATTAAATAAAATTTCACCTCGTACCCAGCTTTATTGAAATGACTTTTAATCTCTTTAGATGTTCTATTCTTATTATCCGTCAATGCCTCTCTATAATTTTTATTAAATATATATATTTTTAATTATAATCATTGATTTAAAAAAATTGTTTTTTTTAAATTTTCAATCATTATTATTACATTATATATACTACTCCTCCAGGTCCGTATGCTTCATATTTTAAACTTTCAATATTATTTTGATCTTTTCCTTGTCCTAATCCCTTTGTATAATTTATTGATAATAGTAATATGTCAAAAAACAATTACGTGGAAAACCTAAGTAATAAGTTATAGATATGAACATAAATTATAGACCCTTTTAATTGCATTTTCCATTGTATCTTTGGGTAAACCGACTTTCTTTGCTTGTGCAAGAGCTGCTGCTAATCTTACATTAAGACTCGGATCTGAAGTACCTCCCTCTTTTTTTTTATTAATAATTACAATATTGTTGTTGTTATTATTAGCAACAACATAATTATTAACAATTATGATATGATCAGTTAATTACCTTTTACTGAAAGTTGAATCTCTTTTGATATTCTAGCAAATAACATACTACGTTCTCCATCTTTTGCAACTTTTATATGCTTAACTTTACTCCATTTATTATGCCCTGCAAATCTTTTTTGATTATAATTTAAAAATATATGTTTTAATTGAATATTGCTCCTACTATTTCTCT